GATTTAATAAAATATTTGGGGTGATTTCCCCCTCTCTGACAGTGTCTGACAGTTACAAGGTTGGGGATGAGAGCATTGCAGTCCTATTATTTTGAAATACTTGTGTGTTAAAAGTGATTTTATTAACGCAAGAATACCATTGCGCATTAAAAAAACACAAATTTAGGTAAAAATGCACCCAAAAACAAATTCCTCCCTCCCCTCTCCCCCCACCCCCACCAGTGTCCCCAGAGATAGATAAATAATGTTTCCTTTTTTTAAACTGTCTCACAATCTCACACCTGCAGTAAATAAATTCTGTATTAACCTGTATCGGTATATCCTGTGATAGTGTGTGCGACCTGGAATCCTGCCCCAGAGGTGACCGCGCAGACTGTTATAAAGTGCTTTAAACTGATAAAAGCAGGGCAGAGAGCTGGACTCAGATAAGGTTCATGTTTACATACTGCAGGGGCGCAGCACGTACCTCTTTGTGCACAGGACGATATTTGGGACACGATTGATTTTCTCTCCTTGTTTCAACAATTGTTTAACAATTTGTGATTGTCCGGGAGAAATCCTGTCTAACCAAAGCTAAGAAAGATTATCAATCAGGTTTTCTCTGTACTTACTCTCCAGATCAGCTTTTATAACGCAGACACATTAGTACTATGGGATATATTCATTATATAACACATAACCTGTATAAACACATATATATCAAATATATATAATAAAAAAAATTAACATAAAGACTTACAGAACAAAGTGCAAACTGAACACCTTTAATTTGAGGGTATTTACATCCTAAAACGTATTAATTAGAAATCTTTTAATACAAGGTGCATTCATTTCACAGGAGTAGGTTGCCAGTTGCTGCTTAGCACTTTCCTGGCAGGGTGGCATTGTTGTGCATTTGTCCTGTGAAAAAACATGATTGGAAATGTTTTATTTTATTCATTTTTTGAAAATATTTTATCAAGGGCGGGCCCACTAATCTAAACAGGTTGTACAACTCTATCGCTTTAGAAACAGACGTTTATATTGCAGATACATTTTAAAATATATTTTCAATATAGCGCAGTTATGTTTACAATATTGAATTTTGAGAGTCAAAGAGCAGGTTAAAAAAAAAATTTAAATCATTGAATCTTTTCCCATTTTTTCCCCATTATTTTTGCATTTGTGTCAGGTTACTACGAGCCTTGTGTAAATGGTAGAGTCCAACTTATTCCTCCATGTACAGATTTATCCTAAATATATATGCTATCAGAGTTATTTATTAAGAGCTATTCTGTAGCAATCGCTATAGAAACCAAATAAATATTCCTACAAATTGTCCCGCTACTTTAACAGTTCAGCATTTAATTTTGATTTATTATGTTAATTACATTAAAATGTTGATAAAACATATTTATACAATGGTTTTTATGTGCCATTTTTTTATTGTATCTCCGTGTCTCCATTTACTCCTCCCCCCTTTTCCGAAATGTAGACCTCTTTCCCCAAGCCTCTAGGACCTCATTTGGCAACATGTCAATGAATCAAGTGCGGCTTTCTTCACCTGACAGTCAGACTAGATCAAGGTCAGCTCCATGCATAGGGCGAGACCACTTAGCTCTCCCGTCTCTTAGCAACCAAACAAGTCCACCAGCGTTCTCCATTCACCACCCATCCTCCCAGGATTCCACCAGCTCTGGCGATGGTCCCCACACTATGCCTGCATGTGGTCCCATTCATATGCTGGCTTGTATCACCCCCCAATTAAACAATGTCAGTGATTGCAGCATGACCACCTGTACACAGACACTTCAATATTAATTATCTCTAAGCTTTGATGCTTGTTTAATTCCTGTGCTCATTCATTCCGGTGACAATAAATTCTAAATAAAAGGTATTTTAATATACAGAAAGCCCGAGCCATGTAATAAATTAACCGCTGATTATCTGACCTTGGAAATTGCAATGGCTTGGATTCCCATCTGGATCATACCTCTGCCAAGTGAGCTACCAGGAAATGGCGTGCCGGGACAATGGAGGGCAGATGACATAGCGTTGCGAGAGATGCGGTCACTGTGGGGGCTGTGCTATTTCCAGTCTCTGACATTTAAAGTCAATGTGGAGCTGAAATACAGCTTCCACCTGTGTGGAGGTTTACGTAATTTACAGCATTTAAAACTGAAAATGCAGTGAAAGCGATGTACATGGCGCTAAGGAAGTCATTAGAGATGGAAACGTTGGTCAGAGAGATAAAATGGCAGGAAGATAGGGCGGTAGACATAACCTCCAATGGGAGAATGGCTTGTAGAAAGAAGGGCAGCTAGATGTGACTTCCTAGACAGCAACGGGATACAAGGAAGAGCTGTACACGAGGAGTTATAAAATATATGTAAGGCTTAGTGGAAGGAGCCCAAAAATACATCAGGTAGCTGGAGAAAAACACCAGAAACAAGGTTTAGATGGAGAATGAGCTGATACGTGGTCAGGATAGACAAAGGTCAGGTCAGGCAGCACAGGTTCATAAATGGTAAAACAGGTTGAGGGTCTATTGGGGAAGTAGTATGCCCCCTCCATGTCATCACTGGGCTCCTGACAAACCTCCATCTTTGTTCTGCCTCTTTAAGATAGTGTCATCTCGGAGCACACATAGGAAGGCTGTGCCCCACTGTGACTACGCCCACGCCGCACTGAGGTAGCCCTTCCCAGACAGTTCGCGGACCACAAGGAAGCAGGCTTTTCACTATTTCACAGCGCTGAACAGGTTGGGGCAAATCACTTCAGAGATGCCAGTCTCTCATCATGCATGTATCTAATTTAATTCAATATATCCTGTTTCTCTGTTTCCCTCTGTCTCACTTGTTGTTTTTCTCTTATGCGAGTGTGGACTGGGAGGTCCTAAATGGGAGAGTTAACAATAAAAGTGGGGAAGGGGAACCCTACCTTTAATAGTCCTAAGGGGAAACAGGAATAGAGAGCGGGAGACAGAAAAAGTTATATAAGTGTGTATGTATATCCACACACACAAATACCTATCAATATCCAGCTAGGTAATACTGCATTTGCTTATCCTCTAATCAGGTCTAAGCCTAAACTGTGCGTGGTCCTAGCGAACGGATAGAAGAATCAGGTATGACTAGAGGTAAAAAGTATTGTCTAGGACTAAGGGGGAGGAGTTAATTACCCCAGAAGAAAAATTCCATTGCAGTCCCAGAACCAATAAACTTCTTAGAATTGTTCTGTCCCTACTACCTTGGCACTGTAGATTAACCACAGATGCCTACCTGAACCTCTCTCCCTTCCTGAACTAAAAATAAAATGAAATATACCGTAGCTAATTCAGTGCATAAGTGCTACCAAGTAGTGAGGTGAAAAAAATAATAAAAAAGAAATAACTCGACGCGCGTTTCGGCGTGTTAGCACGCCATCGTCAGGAGCAATGTTTGTGAACTGGTCCCTGAATCTGTTTTATAAGACCAATATTGGCAGTCAACCATTAAGTGTTAGTTGCTGTGTGAAGGGGGTGTGTAAACCCTACCTTCCTGTGATCAGCATATTTCCATGTTGCTGATTGGTCTCATCCTCTGAGGGGAGGTGTTGGATCAGGTAACTGTCAATCCTAAAAACACCCCCTCTCTACTCATTGGGCGTTAACCACGTGGGACTGATATCTTAGCGTTCATATGTGTATGACGATCGAGAGGTGTGGCTAGTGCGCCCTTACTGTGCTCATTGAGTTCTGCCCACGTGGGCGAGGATGTTAACGTGCATCTGTGTATGACGAGAAGGAGTTGTAGCTACCTCACTTCGTCTCCACGATGACTGGTTAATAATTCCGTACACTCCCACTTGGACAACCCAGATTGGTTGTGCATCTGATGGATTAGCCTTCCGTCCCTGTTACAATCTAACAGTATTCTTTCCGATAAGGGCAGAGGAAAAGACAAATCAATAAAGAAAAAAACTGAGTCTCGGCTTACTTATCATTTATTCAGAAGGATACTTCACTCAGATCTAGTCTGCGAAGTCCACCATATATTGGTTGTTCACTGTGTGATTCTTGTTGATAGCTTATTTCAAAAGATAGCCGATTAGAATAAATGTACACCCAATCCTATAGTAAGGAAAAAAGGGGGTGGGGTGATATAATATATTCCCAATATCCTGCCATAAATTATACATCATTAAAAAATTAGGATAGATTGGGAACCTGGATTTCTTTCCCAAATATTAGAATGCCATTATACCCAAGTGGCATCAATCACAGGGATAAGTCCTTAGGTCTGTGTCAAACTCCCATTATTACTAAGATGGCATCAATGACACTACTAATCTCTATTCCTCTCTATACTGTATGTGATTATGTAAAGGGACGGGTGCATATGGTAGCTAGTCTGACCTTATGGTCAGTACATCTAATGAGACAATAATGGTCAGACCTATACATCTGATCAGGGTTACCAATGAAAAAGGAAAAAAAAAGTTTATTGTGAAACAATATTTACAGCATTAATGAAATAATATTTACAACTATTAACAATTCCTGCTGTCCATAGAAGGACCAGCGTAGGAGTATACCTTCTTTTCCCTTACATCTAATGCAGAGAGCAGTGAGGGGTGTAGATAGGCAGCGAAAGAAAAACCCTTCATTCAGTCCCCGTGGGGAAAGGGTCTTCAATTTATAAATCCAGTAAGACTTCCGCTGTCTCAGCTTTTTATCCCAGTCTCCTCTTCGTTGGGTTTGTGGGATGTGTTCTATTCCCATAAATCTAAGTGTCTTTGAGGAGTTTGCCTGATGTATTTTAAGATGGCGTGAGATGGGGGTTTCCAAAGATCTTCTTACGGAATTAACATGCTCCCTAATCCTATGTTTTAAGGATCTAAAGGTTTTTCCCACATATTTTATTCCGCAAGAGCAGGTGAGTAAATAGATCACTCCCTCCGTCCGACAATTAAAGAAAGAATGAACCGAGAATGTTTCTTCACTGTTAGTATCAGTGAACTGTTTGGAGTTTTTCTCAGTTTCTCCTATATTTCCTGATCTTGTATGATGCAGACTGCGCTCCATATTCCATTAGTTCTCATTAAATGTTACCTATCTTTAGTGCATACGAAGGGTGCATCATCCCTGGTGGTCCAGTGTAGGGGAGGTTTTCAACAAATGCCTTATTTGTGTTTAAACTCGTTGCACTGGTATTTTAATTAAATTTGGCAAATTTAAATGTATATGGTCATCCACCTAGGAACTTCAACTTGGGTTATCGAGTTTGGGGAATCAACTTGGGACATCAACTTGGGTTATCGAGTTTGGGGAATCAACTTGGGTTATCGAACTTGGGACATCAACTTGGGTTATGGAGTTTGGGGAATCAACTTGGGTTATCGAACTTGGGACATCAACTTGGGTTATCGAGTTTGGGGAATCAACTCAGGTTATCGAGTTTGGGAATCAACTTTGGTGATGGAGCTTGGGGAATCAACTTGGGTTATAGAGTTTGGGGAATCAGCTTGGGACATCAACTTGGGTTATCGAGTTTGGGGAATCAACTTGGGTTATCGAACTTGGGACATCAACTTGGGTTATGGAGTTTGGGGAATCAACTTGGGTTATCGAACTTGGGACATCAACTTGGGTTATCGAGTTTGGGGAATCAACTCAGGTTATCGAGTTTGGGAATCAACTTTGGTGATGGAGCTTGGGGAATCAACTTGGGTTATAGAGTTTGGGGAATCAGCTTGGGACATCAACTTGGGTTATCGAGTTTGGGGAATCAACTTGGGTTATCGAACTTGGGACATCAACTTGGGTTATGGAGTTTGGGGAATCAACTTGGGTTATCGAACTTGGGACATCAACTTGGGTTATCGAGTTTGGGGAATCAACTCGGGTTATCGAGTTTGGGAATCAACTTTGGTAATGGAGCTTGGGGAATCAACTTGGGTTATAGAGTTTGGGGAATCAGCTTGGGACATCAACTTGGGTTATCAACTTGGGTTATTGAGCTTGGGACATCAACTTGGGTTATTGAGTTTGGTGAATCAACTTGCGTTATCGAGTTTGGGAAATCAACTTGGGTTATCGAGCTTGGGAAATCAACTTGGGTTATCGAGCTTGGGGAATCAGCTTGGTTTATCGAGCTTCGGGAATCAGCTTGGGACACACCTCTGACATAAAAAAACTTAACCAACCCCAGTTTAAATGTCAGAGCTTGACAAATAAAAAAATACACTATAGCAAAATGGTTCTTTTTCTTACACGGCCCAAATATTACCAAACTGCAACAGGTTGTTTAGTAACAACATTTGCTTATCGAATAGGCAACTTGGAAAAGTATATCCTCTTAAGAACTATAACTAATTAGCAGTGATTTAATTGATATCACTAGGGAAATATTCCCGACCACTTTAACCTAGAATTTTGATAATTTAAGAACGTAGTGCTCTCTCCAGGAGATTGGAAGTTGCAGTTTGGGAATTAGAAAGTGCAACACAAAAAAATTGTGGATGAAATAAATAGTCTTCTATTAATTACTTTCTATTGGTAGAGAGAAATGTTGGGTTGGGGTGATTGAATATACTTTTAGAGTGCTCTGTTACATTCCCTAACTAACAATATCTGTGTGACTGTGTGTGATTTGCCAGCATGGTTGCAGAGTAGTGGACTGTGGAGGACTTCCCTTTGCGAGTTTTAGTAAGAGTAGCTTGATTGAAAATCTCTACCAAATCATGTTGCCATTATTTATGACAAACAAATCTACGTAACTTGCATTAAGGATTCATTATTCATCGTGGACCATCTGCAATTATTTGCCCACCTTTCTAAACCAATATTTGCTATCTGATAACCATTGAAAAGAAATTGTACACATTGAAGGATTTACAGCATAACTTATTCAATTATTTGTCAAAACCTTTGGAACTTTTTCACGAGTTCCATTGGCCCCTGCTGGGAGACCCAAAATTCAATCATTCAATAATTTACTTTGGTGCAGGAGCATAAAGTCTATGGCTATTTATCGAACCGATTGACAGAATTCTAGAATGCTAGGCATCCACTATTTTTCCCCTTTTCTCTTACAAGACCACCCCGCATAATCTTTACCAAAGAGACATTTGTATTGAGCAGATACTGTTTTTAATAATTAGCCAGTTCAACCTGATAAAAACAAACAGACAAAATAAACAAGAATTCGCTGCTGGTTTTCCCAAAAAAAAATAATCCACAATTCACACCGAGAAAATATCTTACAAACATACTTAGAAGAGAAAAGAGTAAAGGAATGAAGAATATACATTTCATGAAAAAGCAGGCAGTTCATACATATCAAATGCCCATTCTTTTCTCTTATAAATAGTCTATTGTTGGCCAGCCTTAAGAGAAATGTAGTGGCCACAGCTGATTCAGTGCTTTGTGTTGCAAAAGTCAGTGCCAGCCAATCATTAACATGAAATAGCCAACAGGAGTATGAACGTATAAATAGTCTTTCTCGGTCCTTTTTTTCTTGACGTTTTACGCACGTGACCCATTCGATGAATTCCGTTACAATGGAAGTCTTGGAAAATGTAGTAAATGACAGGTGGTGTGCACAGTTTCTCTGTAGGAACATTTGCTGACATTGGTAGGAAAATCACCTTTGGTGCTTAGTTCGGTAAAGTTTGCTTGATTTGCACAGATGCGTAAACACACAATGACCTCCCACTGGCAAAACGGCATTCATTCAATGGTTATTGATGAGTTTAATTGACTGTTCATATTTTAGGTTTTGTTGATGTGCAGAGGAGAGAATGGACCCACCAGTCTTAAGTTACTTGGCCAGTGAACTTCAAGAGTTGGGTACGAAAATATAATTTGGTAGGAATACCTTAAACTTTCTCTGAGAGTAACATTCGTTTTGAGTGCTCTAGTATGATTGAGGACAACTCCTCAACATGTGTAAGAGTTGGCTTCCATTTGATATGTTTTTGTTACCTCCGAGAATTAGCTTTCTGAGAAAGCTTCTCCTGATCTGGAAGTCAGAAGATGTAAATGGCGGAGTCAGCCCCATCACTGCATTGGCATGTATGGCCAATTAAAACTGGACCCGGACAGAAGCATATCTCGAATTAATGTCTCAATGGGCGTCTTGCCAACTAGACGAACAAAGAAGAGTTGCTCTATAACAGGCGCAGAGACAATGCGCAAGGAAGGAAGCCGGAGCAAAAGTCTCCCGAATCGGGTGGGCTGATTAGGGTACTGATTTCTTACGTACTCCTCTAGAGCACACTGAGATTTTTCCTGAATACTTTCCACGTGGCCAATGTCAGACAATCCCACCGCATCTAGAAGACAAGATGAAAAGAGTTAGCATCGTCGGGTTAAACAATACGAATGGTTAACAGAGGAGTAGACTTCATAAACAAAATTATGGATATTAAAAAAAAATCTACTTTTGTAGAAATGTGTCAATGGTTTGATAGCTTTGCATATTTCAAAGGAGATTATTAAACAGAATTGAATAGAAGATAACAAAACTAGTATTGCCAGATCCTTCAAGTTTTCTTGGACACGCCTAGCTGTATATAAGATGTACTGCCCTTTAGTATGTAGCATTAAAATGCTGCAGGAGGGGAATCCTGGTGCCTCCATCGTGCAGGGCAGCACCTTTCACATACTGCCCATGTCGCAGTGCTATATGACCATAAAAACATGGTGGGTTAGCAGCTCTAACCAAGCCCGAATCCTAGCTCATCGTGGTCAATATAGGATAGGGCAGTGATTTTATCAACAAGCGGAATTGATTGTTCTGGGTTTGATACTGTATTCCTGAACTGATGGGGGCATCCAGGTTTTTTGTTTGCTTACCCTCTCATGTGATTGGCCTATACCCTCTCACACCCACATTGCTGTAATTCCGCTCATTTCTGATATTCTTCTCCGAAATCTCACCTCACCCTTAACCCAATGCCTGACCTGAACTCACTATTAAGGTATAACAGTGGGAAAAACATCCAAATAAAATGACAGATCCATTTTCATTTGATTTTTTTTAAAGTAAAATTAGTACAAATGTTTCCTTGGCCTCCTTTTGAGAAGAGGGCAGCCATATATTTTTGACAAAAAGCTAACGGTATAAAGAGTGCAATAAAGCCCTCTTGGGATACCTACACAATGTAACTCCTGACAGAAAATAGATAGGGTGTTGTAGCTCACTTCTGGGTCAAACACCCAGACATAAGAAAAGGAGCTAATATATTACAGGATGCCTGTGGGGTCCAAACTTGCAAACTTGTCTAGTTTTTTCCAAACACTGTATATGTATATCTATTTGTATGTAAAGCGGTGCTGTCACATTTTCTACATATGTCGGGTTGGCAATGTACAGTTTGGCAGTATAAATCAGTCCGTCTAGGATTGCTAAACCCACCATGTTTATAGTGCAGGATTCCTGATTAACCACTTAATATTCGAACTCTACATACTACACGTCAGCACTTTTCATGCCCCGTCCATCAGTTTGCATAAGTGAAATGTTCCCTGTAAACTATCAGCTGACCCTGTTTAGCGTGGCAAGGGGGGGAAAGCAACTGGCACTCTTAGAAAAAGGGAGAAAATCTCTAAAAAAAAGAATTTAACATTCTACGTTTTACTTGCTTGCTCCTTTATCTTGGAGACAAATGAAAGAGCGAAGGTTGACGGGCCTCAACCCATAATGAATAATATGATACCTTGGGCGGTATGTTGTAATACTCGGTACTGATCAGTACACAATGCTCTCGCTGCCAAGTCTTGGAATAACAGCATATTGTTTGTAGGGAAAGAATGCGTGACGCGTGCAATGCTATGAAATCCTATACAGTAAGTGCGCGTGCAGAATATTTATATAATTATTAGGTCGAGCAGGTGCCTGACTGTACTCCCCATTAAGCTCATTCTATGACGCCTGCTCTCTGTCACACTATCCCAGCTGGCGCGTTAACAAGCCATAGTGGGCAATAACAATCCGAGTTAGCTGATTGACGTGTTCCAGGCTCACGGACACGCACTGAACAACTCACTGAACTCCCCACTGGACTGAGCCGGCACTGACACTCACTGAACTCCCCACTGGACTGAGCCGGCACTGACACTCACTGAACTCCCCACTGGACTGAGCCGGCACTGACACTCACTGAACTCCCCACTGGACTGAGCCGGCACTGACACTCACTGAACTCCCCACTGGACTGAGCCAGCACTGACACTCACTGAACACCCCACTGGACTGAGCCGGCACTGACACTCACTGAACTCCCCACTGGACTGAACTGGAACTGAATTGCAGGATGGTGTCTAATTAGAGCTAATTGGGAAAGCTATAGTCACAGCTCGTCTGTTTCAGGGTCAACCTTGCAGTTTTTTTCGATTCCCTGTAATTCGGCGTTTAGTGAATTAATCACACAGAGTTTATTCTAAATGTTTGAACTGTTGGGAATTCAAATTATAGGCTGAAATAGGCAAACTGGAAAAAATGTACAACAAAACTGGATTTAGTTCAGATATTGTGGCCTAAAACTTGAAATCGGCTTGGAATCAATGTGTTGATCCAACTGTTACAATAGGCTGACTATTCCTGAGACTCCCCCAATGGACAGTGTCAGACCAGGCAATGGGGCAGGGACAGTGTAAGACCTGGCAACAGACAGTGTCAGACCAGGCAACGGACAGTGTCAGAACAGGCCACGGACAGTGTCAGAACAGGCAATGGGGCAGGGACAGTGTCAGACCAGGCAACGGACAGCGTCAGAACAGGCCACAGACAGTGTCAGAACAGGCCACGGACAGTTTCAGAACAGGCAACGGACAGTGTCGGACCAGGCAATGGACAGTCAATGGATGGTGTCAGACCAGGCAATGGATGGTGTCAGACCAGGCAACGGACATTGTCAGACCAGGCAACGGACAGTGTCGGACCAGGCAATGGACAGTCAATGGACGGTGTCAGACCAGGCAATGGATGGTGTCAGACCAGGCAACGGACAGTGTCAGACCAGGCAACGGACAGTGTCGGACCAGGCAATGGACAGTCAATGGACGGTGTCAGACCAGGCAATGGATGGTGTCAGACCAGGCAACGGACATTGTCAGACCAGGCAACGGACAGTGTCGGACCAGGCAATGGACAGTCAATGGACGGTGTCAGACCAGGCAATGGATGGTGTCAGACCAGGCAACGGATGGAGATTTGAGAAATTAAAATTAAAGGCTTAATCACTAAATAGTGATAAGATGGAAGTGGATAACTGAGTTGATTTGGACAAATTATCAATATTCTCTAATCGCTGTGATCGCTCTGAATGAATCCCTTGTTTTTATGTATTGATTTTTTTGTAGTTTTTTTGCCTATTTTTACTAATTTGCTCTTAAAGAATCCCATTTGAAATGCAAATCTAAGGAAGGATAAAACATAAATACAAAGAAATCAAACCAATGATTAATTATTCTCTTAACCCCTTAAAGGACCACTATAGTGCCAGGAAAACATACTCGTTTTCCTGGCACTATAGTGCCCTGAGGGTGCCCCCACCCTCAGGGACCCCCTCCCGCCCGGCTCTGGAAAGGGGAAAAGGGTTAAAACTTACCTTTTTCCAGCGCTGGGCGGAGAGCTCTCCTCCTTCTCTCCTCCTCCGTTCCTCCTCCTGGGCTGAATGCGCACGCGCGGCAAGAGCTGCGCGCGCATTCAGCCCGTCGCATAGGAAAGCATTTACAATGCTTTCCTATGGACGCTTGCGTGCTCTCACCGTGAAAATCACAGTGAGAAGCACGCAAGCGCCTCTAGTGGCTGTCAATGAGACAGCCACTAGAGGATTAGGGGGAAGGCTTAACCCATTGATAAACATAGCAGTTTCTCTGAAACTGCTATGTTTATAAAAAATGGGTTAACCCTAGCTGGACCTGGCACCCAGACCACTTCATTAAGCTGAAGTGGTCTGGGTGCCTAGAGTGGTCCTTTAAGGACCAAACTTCTGGAATAAAAGGGAATCATGACATGTCACACATGTTAAAGGGCCCCCCTCCAATACACATATAGATTAGTAAACAAAGAACAATACACATGAAGTTATTGAATTGGTGAGTTGGCATTTTATTCAAATATTACTGTACTTATTGTTTAAACAATGCATCTAGTTTGCGTTTGATATAATATTTTATCACTTTATGTATCTGGTGGGTCCCTTTATTAGATGACTCTCTGTTCAGTATGGATAATCTTAGCAGCACGGAGAGGTTAGGAATCTAATTTCTAAATTGAATTGAAGGATTAATTTAGCAAATGTGCTGGAAGTATTCTCCCAATTAAGCTATTTTGTCCAACACGGTTATTCCAGGCGACTTTTTGCAATTGAATTTTTATTTTGAAGCAGTTCCCAGTTTAATTAATAAAGCCCTTCGTTTTAGACGAGTGAAAGCAGGGTGAATATTTATTCCTTTACAGAAAATCCAAACTAATACGTGCCTTAATATAAAGGGATTCATTCACTTATAAAGTGTTACTGCCAGCACCATAACCACTGCAAACTGCTGTACAGCCATTGGTAGGGGTTATGATGCTAGGAGTACTTTGACCCTATTTCCCGGTAATGGGGGAAACCGACCAGGGTCAAGCTGGGTGTCGAGGGTCCTCTGGTACTGGGTGTCATACCATGCCAATCCTGACACGCACTTATTGGAGAGAGAGCATCCGCTCAGCACTCTCAGCCAATGATTGATATTGTGTACATAGTAATATTCATGCAGAATTGATATAAGCCGCCCCGGAAGTCTCGTTCCAATTCATGGTGAAACGTTGCGCATGCGCAGACTCCAGGCACCATGACCATTTCAAATCACTGAAGAAGTGATGGTGCTTTAATTAACCCTTTAAGCCTCAATTGTAATGAACTGAAATTCACATTTCAAAACCGAGGCTAGAATATCTGCTCTAGAAAAATGTGTCTCGCTCGGCTATAGACCTTCGTGAATGCACCGCGGTGTACGAAAACATGTCTGCAATCTGTATTGTTTTCACATAATGTCAATTTTTATTGGAGATTTTAAAGACCCTGCTTTGGGTTAGTCGTTTAACTGAAAAATTATAGAATATTGAGAGAGAATTGCAAATTTCGGGCCAAAATAAACCGATTGTAAAACATTCTCTGACTCTTGTGGCCTACAATTTGCTAACGTCCTAGAACTCCCATTAAGTGAATGAACCCATGTAGGCTAGAAGTCGTGTGTCTTACACCCTTCATTAGTAAAGGCTGTTGTGGCACAGCAGTTCTGATGAATTGCTCGGCAAGGAAGGGGTTAAGGTTGGAGGTACTCTGCTGTCAGCGGGGTTAATGGAAAGTACTTGGTGCTGGGGTGTGCTCGGAATACCAATTCTCAGTGCCTGCAGGAGGGGAGCAGGTGGGCAGGCCCAGCTAAGCAGGGACACCCAGAAATGAATGTCAGCTGTGAGCATTCTGCACTCCGAAGGTCAAACAGACAAGAATGCCTTTGTACGGCTGCCTGACATTATATATCTGACCTGTGAGGCCCTCTTTTTGGACGATGGTCTCTGGTGAACAATAAATCAATCTAGGTGATTGTTACCGCTGAGGTTCAACATCAAACCTTAACCCTACGAGTACTAGAGCTCGTCTCGCTCAGGCGGATTGTGTAAAACAGAAACAAGTTTTACGTAAGGTTTGAAAATGCGACACTTCAATTAACGTGAACATGAAAAGAGGGGCTGAGTGCTGCCCAGGATTTATAAAAAAAATTTGCAAAATATTCTGAATATCAGCTAAAAACTTTTTCTCTAAGTTTGTAAACACAATTTTGCAGTCTTTCATACAAAGTATAGGACATTTATGGAAACACTGATTTTTCCAAGATTTTCAGTGGTATCCACTCTACATGTAAGTTCAGGGGACCCCGGTGTCTTTTTACTGATTTATAACCCTTATTCAGCTGATTGTTCAGAGAGACACGGGAATTACTTATTATTTAATGCAGAATTTCTCAGTAAATTACTTTCTGTGCAGTTTCTGAGCTAGCCGACACCAGTTTCAATCCATTTCTGATTGGGATTTATTTAGAGACTTATAAGGATATAGTCACCATTCAGAACATATGACATTTATTCACTAAACAGTGATTAAAGTGATCTGTAAACCACATGCAGTCTAAAACAGCCAACCTGTGAGTACCGGTATGTTTGTAAAACTTCCTAGGTTATAAATCTTGTTATAAATTGTGCAATTTGGTTTTCAACTCATTACTTTTTTTAAATTCTTTATTTTTACTCAATAGACATATCAAGTTATTAACGACTTTGGGCTTATGCAAAAGCCATTGTAATAATAATAGCATACATAATACAGCTTGACAATTACAGTATATGCCCATTCATAAGTGAGCCATCGGAACTTGCCGTCTACTGAGGATTTTTTATTTTTATGCAATTATAAACAATATATTCACAAAAAAAGGAAACGTCTTCTTCCCAATCCCTGTTAAGGCTGATAGATAAGTCAATTAAAGTACATTTCCTTTGGTCACCCTGAATGAACTCCAGCCTTGCCACACTGTTGGCATCTGCCGGTTATGTAGATATCGTGTAGTCTATGAGCTCCTTATCAATACTAAGCATGAGATCCCAACTGGGCCTATGTATAAGCTAAATAACTGTCATGCCAGATAGGATCAATCACGTACCACTCCGCTCTATTAATGCCAACCCCATTCTCATTGTACGATAGGCGTTTGCCAACTATGGAGAGGATATATGCAGATCATGATATAAGTAGGTACCAATGACAGCAATCAATCAGATATGTTAATCAGTATCGTGTCATTGTTTCATTTTCCTCCCATCGTATGACCTAGCCTGGAAAAAATTAAAAACAAAAGCAAAGAAAAAAGAAAGAAAAGAGGAAGAAAAGGAGATAGATAGGAAAGAGTATATAGTAAATTAGAGGAAGGTTTAGAGGAGGGAAAAAAGGAGGGGGGGGGCAAACGGGGAAGGGTCAAAAAACAGTAGCCCCGCCGGCACAGAAGACCCCGCTAGCAGTGATGAATTCCATTACGAATCGTACTTGGGCGAGGGGAGGCACTTACTCTCCTCTCGAGCGGTTTTCAACTCATTACAATTGACTGTTTAGTCAATAAACTCCATTATATATATATACTCTGAAATGTATTACTGTCTGCAGATATTTCTGAGCTGCTATAAGTAAGCAGGATTACCTACGTGCCGGGGTATTATTCAGCCCAATATTTTATTTATATACCTGTAATCTTGTGATTTTGATAGTCAAATGGTACATGCAGTGCTGTAGGTGGCCATTGGAGGTATACTGGCTGTCAGACTCATTTAAATGAATACTGTAAGCTTAAGGGGATGCTATAAGCACCAAAACAATGTTATTTTAATAAAGCAGTGTTTGTGTATAGATCATGCCTCTGCAATTTCACTGCTCAATTATCTGCTATTTAGGAGTTAAATCACTTTGTTTCTGTTTATGCAGCCATAGCCACACCTCCCCTGACTATAACTCACACAACCTGCATGGAAACATAATGGTTTCATATTAATCAGATGTTAACTTACTTTAGAAATTTTTATATCCTGCTCTGTAAATTGAACTTTAATTATAAACAGAAGGCTTCAGGCAGAGAATTGAGCAGTGATCTATACACTAAACCTGCTTCATCAAGCTAAACTTTAAAAACAAAACGTCCTAATACTTTAATGTAATCCAGTCCTCCTTCTGTGAGATCATCGGAATCTGATGACTCATTACAATACAATTATTTTCATGGAGAAGAATTGGGGACCTACAAAGAATGTGCTATAATCCCTGTGATCTGCCAATCAGATGCTTCTCACAGAAAACAACTGAATCCAACACTTAGTGTGGCAGCGAACGTAAAGACCAACGGAAATCACAAGTCTTAAGGAGGAAGCCACTAGAGGTGATTCTCAGAAAAGGCAATTATTAACTTTGTTCAAAAAAAGAGACCGCTTCTATGCACCAAAACAACTACATTATAATGTAATGAGTTAGGTGCTTAGAGTTTCCCTGTAATGAATTTGAATGTCACACATGAAGATAGAATTTTAAAAACAAATACCATTGCCACATCATGTGTGAGAGTACATCAGTCATATGGACTCCTGCCAGGTGAACATGGAAGAGGAGACAGGAATATGGAACTGCCGAAGGGAAAGAGGCTCGGCTAAGTGTATCTACTTTCCACCTCTAACTGGAGTCAACTTGCCACCTTAAAGAATCATTGCAAAAACTGTAAAGATTCTACAAGTGACTGTGCCACTTTAAGACTATGGCCTCAATTTAATATTTTGGATAAACTTTTAAAATGATTTAGTTTTATGAAAAATATTTTAATACTTTTTGACATCATGATATGTATTTTAGAACTGTTATATTTTTGGATATTTTAATATTTGAAAAAAATTATTTTAAAAGTCTAAAAATATTAAACCATTGGAAAAACATATCCAACAATATTATATCAAGGCCTATACTGTATAAAATGTTCTAGTCCCCATTAATATAATAGTAATACATAATTGTACACTAAAAGTGTTTTATCAATTTAGCAGCTCATTAATAGATGTCACTGAAACACAAATTAATGGTACTCATTTCATTGACCTCGGAAGGGAGTAGATTGAATAGGCTCCACTATTGGTACATTAACCAACTGAACCATTTCACCACGATCTTGCAATATATCACCCCTGACTAACAGGTCAATTTAGAATCCCTGATAGCATTGACCACCCCGCCAAATCATTCCACCTGATCACAAACACGATGTTACTCTGGGGAGATAAAGCAACTTTGATTTCTATGGTTACTTAAGGTTGTGGAAGCACAGCTAGGAATCCTTGGGAATCTAAGGTGATTTGAATTAAATGCCCAGTGTGTGCCTTTTCAGGAGGCAAATCTGAATGTGTTTTTGGAGGGTGTGAGCTGGTTTTTAATGGATTTCCAAATAGATTGTTGTTTGCATCAAAGGATCACTATAAGATCAGGAACACAAACATGTATTCCTGACTTTATAGTGTCAGAAGGGACCCCCCTGGGCCCCTCATGCCTCCATAAATATAGCATCATCTTACTGTATTCAAGCCAGAAGCTGTAGATCTGCATGCTGTTTGCCTCAGAAAAACAAGCAGTCTGCTGACATCATCAGAAGTGGTGGCCTGATCCAATCACAGTGCTTCCCCATAGGATTGGCTGAGACTGACAAAGAGGCAGATCAGGGGCAGAGCCAGCATGATTCAAACACAGCACTGGCCAATCAGCATCTCCTCATAGAGATACATTGAATCAATTAATCTCTATGAGGAAAGTTCAGTGTCTGCATGCAGAGGGAGGAGATACTGAATGTGTGGATGCATTTTAGGCAGCCATGACCCAGGAAGGATCTCAAACAGCCATCTGAGGAGTGGCCAGTGAAGGTATCACTAGGCTGTAATGTAAACACTGCATTTTCTCTGAAAAGACAGTATTTACAGCAAAAAAGTCTAAAAAGAATGATTCTACTCCCCAGAACAAATTCAATAAGCTGTAGTTGTTCTGGTGACTATAGTGTCCCTTTAAGCAGTAGCACACGTTACAATTTAAGACCCGCCAAGTTATGACGCAGTGTTGTGTTTTGTTTGGCTACACCACTTAATGAATATTTTTTTGGTAATTATTTAAAGTTCTATCCCACTGTACGCTGGGAGCCACATCAGAAGATTACATTATTTACCCAAAAAGCTAATTGGTGATTGTAGACTGGTGTCTTGGTTCCTTGGCTGTTGTTAGGCGTTTGTCTACTTAGCCTTAAGGGAAATGAGCCTGTAAACTGCAAGGTGACATCCTTACAACAAAGATTTGTAATATCTTAAAGTTGATAATCCCTTGATGGTGAAAAACTAATTTAATGAAAACATCAACAAGTCACAGGAGCCACTAAAGTGTTAGATTACCCTAAAGCTATTTTCCTAAAGTGTTTGTGTGAAAAGGATTAAAACGCAGATAACCACATCTGTGTTTCTGGGGCCATATGTGTCATTAGTACCAGAGCTTTGGAAAGAGATGCTTGGTCTAGAATTCATAAAATCCATTCAAGGTGTTGACCTTATGATACAGAAGACATGACTATTATTTGATTAAATAATGTTACTCACCTGGTGTAAACAATGCAATGGCTTTCAAACAGGAATACTCAGCAGAGTCAACATGAAGTGCCTTCAGTTTTTCCACCTGTTCTTGAAACACCCTTATATGGTCCATGAAGGCCACCACACGGTCAGCAGACATGGGCGAGGCATGAAGACCAGCAGCTGCTAGAAGAGGAGCTACGTGAAGGGGCATGGAGCACTGTGCTGCATTCAGAACAAAGAGCTCACTCCATGTCATGCGGAGAAGAGAGACTTGGTCCGAGAGCTGGAAGTCAGGAAAAAAGGGGATATTTTTGGCCCACTCAATAGCACTGAAAAGCAGTCGGGCAGCTAGCTCACAGATGTTCTCGATGCCCATGATGTTATTAGGCTGCAGACACTGTGCTCCATAGCGAGACGTTGGGTAAGGCTCCGCTCGTAGAAGTAAGGAGATGAATCCCGTTAGATAGGAGTGTCCATTATAGGGATCAACATTGTTGAGCGCATACTGGCCAGGGCTAGTTTGTGGATGAGACATTCGACCTCGCTGGACTGCTGTGGAGAGAAGACAAAAGTGTGGATCACTATTCAGGTTCAGAAATATGGAGGGACATTGCCAATCAAGGACTAATATGGATACTGCTACCTAGGTGTCATAAGCTATTGTACAGGAGAAGAGTCAAAAGTGTCCTCTTTACCTAGAACCTAGAGAGCTAGTAGTGTGAATTTTCTCCATTTATTTCTTTCAAGGCAGAGGCTTCTTTTTAAATTAGTATTTTCTGACCTGTCCCAGGCTAGCTCAATGAGTTGTCCACATTGACCTCCAAAAAGATATATATTTTTTCAATACTTAAAAACAAGGATCATACATTAACGTGTAGAAGATTCAAACAATGAAAATGCCCTTCAAGAAACCTTCCACCAGGTGCCTTACCTTTACACAAAACGACTGACAAATCTCTCAACTTCATGAACAACACTTGCACAAATATTCTCACGACCAACCAAAACTGTTGTTGTTTTTCGGTTAACGGGAACAACTATTTATCAACTCACAAAAATGTATATCATTTGTTTTCTGGTGGCTTGATAATAATTACAAGTCAGGTTAAAACCAAAAACAGCTCTTCTTAAAACCGTTATAATTGATCAATATGTTAATGCTGAGTAAACTCATTTGAATATCCTACATAGCAATCTGGGAGAATCGTGGAATCTTTGTTTTTATATTTTTATCTTTATTGATTTTTTTAAAGTCAGCCATACTATATACACACAATCCTGGGTCTTGTAAGAGAGTAATGGGTTGATTTATCGGTATGATATGGAAAAGATTGGCATTTCAGACTTTTATCAAACATGGCTGAATTATCTTTTTTCTTTAATGACCAATAAATCAACCCATTACTCTTTTCACGGCTCCTACATTTCCATCACTAATTTATATTTATAGATGAGGACACCAGCCAGACACTTAATGCCTTTCCTAACAGCGTACAACACAATTTACAGTTATTTACTTATGGTATTTTAGTACAAATTGCAAGCACACGTCGATGCTAAAAATGATAATAAATCTACCCTTCAGAAATTAAAATCATTCTCTAACGATACGATTTACGATATATAATAGGCATATATTTCCCCTATTTCTTTAGATTGTTGGCTACACTGTACAACGAGTAGCTCAGCATATTTTATAATCGGGGAGGGGGAAAATTCAGTAGTGAAGCTTTGACCATTAGAATAATGGATTCCTGGTTTTAAGTGGAGGCGACACATCTGTTCAGCCATCTAATTACAGAGAACAATTGATCATAATTCTTCAACGTGTCATAACAAGAATGAGAATGGCGAATGTCTAGTCTGCATCGCGAACTAATACAATCCCATCGTATAATCCCGGGGTGCCCAGAAGTTCCTAGGATGCTTTGTCAGCTGGGGGTACCCTTTTTGAGGTGAATGCAGATTTACCTCTTGCTCTATTTCCACTTACTCAACTGCAACATGTTTCGAAGACAAAGCTCATGGGGGGTGCAAAGCCATTGTATAGAAATAATTCTGGACAGTATATACAGCAACTCTAAACCTAATAATATTTCAATCTAAATATTCTAGCAAGTTGCAAGATTTTAAGTCACAATAGGTCAAGTTCAGGGATTTTTTCCCCTTCTTGACTAATAATGGCAACTTCTATATAACTCACTGTTTTTGCACTCTTGAATTCAAAGGCTTCCATTTTTCTCACAGTTTGGTTGTTATGTGAAACAAACGTAATATCGCTGATTTGTATGAGGTGCGAAACAATGGACTATCATTGTAACAAGTCGTCCAGTGGGACTGTGCCCGCAAATTACCGTGTATGTTCAATAATGACGTGACACAAAATAACTCCTGTTTGCTACAATGTGAGTTACACATCAACATTTTTCAGAGATCTACAAACTTGGAGCAAGGGCTGTGCCGTAAAGAGCCATTAAATGGGATTTAGCCATTGTTAGTGAGTGCACTTAGTACGGAGATTAACCATTAAATGCCAGAGTGATTAAAGTTGCTGATGGTCACTGCTGATTGGATGGACAATGACGACATCTGACAAAGCACTCCTCAGGGGGATCAGGGGTGAGGTGAGGCAGTGTATCTGAATGTAGCCAAAATAGATATGATTTTAAATTTTTATAGTAAAGTTAGCTCCAAGCAAAGAAACTAAAATAAAATAGCACGTTTAATTAAACACAATATTTAAACTCCTTAATATTAATTAATAAAAAAAAATGTAAAAAGCCCATTTTAAAAGCACATTATTTGCAATGTGGTCTTTGAGTCTCAAAGTCTGCGGTGGCGCTTGTACCCCTGTAACAGACATTGTCAGATGTTGATTTTTGCAACACAAAATATTGCAAAGATTTATTTATTTATTTTTTTAAAGAAAATAATCTACTCAATGGTTATTACGAAGCAGTGGGTCCATAAAAAGTAGCAAAATCCAGTATTTAAAAATCTATTCTGAGACAAACACTACTTCACTCTTAGAACGTTCATTTTAAATTTAGTTCATTTTCATGTATAAAAATATATTTATTTTTTGTAATTTTCCCAGACAGCTAACATATATCACAAATGTCTATAATCGATTTATATTGGGGTTTGTTTTTGCACCATGAAGGTAGAAACTGCTTACGTACTTAGTCTCTATTGTTTTGACAAGCTCTTTTGAAAGCTGTGTTAAGCTCACTGCTATTGTAGGATTTTAAGCAGATATCTAATGGCTCATTCATCTTTGACATAAGCGATGAAATCCTCTTAATAAAGAAAAGGGGCATCTCAAATTCACAGGACTTAGGCTATTCAGGTGCATGAGGAAGATCAAAGAAAATGGACACACCGCACAAATTGCTACATTTAGATAAGCTTTGAGGCTGAAGATACATCTTGCATTATTATAGACTTTTTTTTAAAAAGGTTTAGAAACATAAAAAAATATACTTCTAAATTTTAACAGATTTTAAGACATATTAATTTACACTGCTGGTTTTATCTAGATTGGGGAAGGCATTTATTTTGCACTTGCTCTTTAGAGCCCTTCCTGTGAGCATGCAGGCGGCTGTACTACAAAACAGGAAGTAAAAGAGGGCATCGGCAAATTGTTTCCCCCAGCTTAGTGAAAAATAACCATGAAATATAATTTTTTAAGTTTAGATGGTATATGCATCACACCCACCATTTGCAGGTTATTTTAAAACCTTTCACGTAGAATACACACACTGTATGGACAAAAGTATTGCTGCACCGGACCATTACACCAACATGGGCTATTATGACATTGCATTCTAAACACAAAAAACATTAATATGTAGTTGGTCCCCCATATCAGCTCTAACAGCTTCCACTCTTCTGGGGAGGCCTTCCACAAGACTTTGGAGTGTTTCTGCCAATTTATCCAGTAGAGCACTTGTGAGGTCAGCCACTGATGTTGGGCAAAAAGGCCTGGCTCGCAATCTCTGTTCTAGATCATCACAAAGGTGCTCAGTGGGGTTGAGGTCAGGGATCGGTGCAGGACAGTCAAGTTCTTCCACATCAAACTTATCAAATCATGTCTTTATGGACCTTGCTTTGTGTACTAGACCACAGTCATGCTGGAATAGAAGAGGGCCTTCCCCAAACTGTTTTCATAAAATTGGAAGCATAGCGTTGCCCAAAATATCTTGCTGACACAATAAGATTTTCCTTCACTGGTAGTAAGGTGCCTAGCCCAACCCCTGAAAAACAGCCCCATGCCATTATCCCTCCTCCACCAAACCTTACAGTCGGCACAAGGCAGTCAGGCAGGAGCGTGATTTGTCACTTCACAGAACGTGTTTCCCACTGCTCCTGGGTCCAGTGGCGGCGTGCTTTACACCACTCGATCTGACACTTGGCATTGTACTTGGTGATGTGAGGCTTGCATGCAGCTGCTCAGCCATGGAAACCTATACCATCAAGCTCCCTCTGCACAGTTTTTGTGCTGATATTAATGCCAGTGGAAGTTTGGAACTCCTCAGCTACGGAATCAACAGAGCGTTGGCAACTTTTACACACCATGCGCCTCAGCTCAGTAACCCGCTCTGTGACTTTACGTGGTCTTTGACTTCGTGGCTGAGTTTCTGCTGTTTCTAAACGCATACCACTTACAGTTGACCGTGGAATATCTATCAGGGATTGGCTTCACACATGTTTGTAAATGCAGACAGCATGGCTAGGTGCTAGATGTGATACACCTGTGACAATGGGGCTGATTGAAAAATTCAATAATTAAGAGATGTGCCCCAATAGCTTTGTCCATATAGTATATCTATTTTAAGTTTTTCTTTAGTGCATTCACAATGCTGCCGTTCCAGTCACTGCCTTTTTCTGTGCCACAATCCTCCCCCCTTAGGTCATAATACAGCTAATGCAATGTAAGAGATGGGGTGACAATGTGACACCCCCCACATCCCATACACCATCCGTATGAGGCTCCCTGCTTCCAGAGTAACGTTACCCTGATCACAGGGTGTAACGGCCACTACAGAGGCAAATACTAAAACAAATTATTGGCAAAAAGTTATTATATTGTCTTTTTATTTCTAAAATGTTTTTAAAATTGTAGCCTGCCTAATTCATGGAGTATTCTGGTTACTCCAGGGACAGTGTAATACCTTTGGGTAAGAGCGTCATTCTGATTAGTCTGCCTGTGCATCATACGTGTTGTAGGAAAAAAAGAAATATTCAGATGATTTTAGCTAGGCCTGTCCTGTCAATAATAGAAAAGTGGGGCAAAATTCTAAAAGTGAAGCAGTCACCATAGTAACCAGAGGTTGCCATGGGAATCATCACAAAGTTCCTGTAGAAATTTTAAAAAAAAGTCACTTTTTGCTTGGCAACACATCTTAATGTCCTTTAAGGGCAATGTGATTGTGGGGACAAAGTGCTCTTTTTGGGGCCATAATTAGTAACATTTCTGTGGTTTCCAGGGTGACTGCTTCATATATACAACATTATTAGCACATTGCTCCACATTTATCACATTGCTCCACATTTATCACTTTGCTCCACATTTAGTACACTGCTCCACATTTATCACATTGCTCCACATTTATCACATTGCTCCACTTTTAGTACATTGCTCCACATTTAGTACAATGCTCCACATTTAGCACTTTACCCCATTTAGCACATTACATTTAGCACATAACTCCACATTTAGCACTTCACCCCACATTTAGCACATCACATTTAGCACATAACTCCACATTTATCACATTGCTCCACATTTAGTACATTGCTCCACATTTAGTACACTGCTCCACATTTATCACATTGCTCCACATTTAGCACATAACTCCACATTTTTCACATTGCTCCACATTTATCACTTTGCTCCACATTTAGTACACTGCTCCACATTTATCACATTGCTCCACATTTAGTACATTGCTCCACATTTAGTACACTGCTCCACATTTAGCACAATGCTCCACATTTAGCACTTTACCCCATTTAGCACATTACATTTAGCACATAACTCCACATTTAGCACTTCACCCCACATTTAGCACATATCTCCACATTTATTACATTTCTCCACATTTAGCACTTCACCCCACATTTAGCACATCACATTTAGCACATAACTCCACATTTATCACATTGCTCCACATTTAGTACATTGCTTCACATTGCTCCACATTTAGTACACTGATCCACATTTATCACATTACTCCACATTTAGTACATTGCTCCACATTTATCAGATTGCTCCACATTTAGTACATTGCTCCACATTTCTCCACATTTAGTACATTGCTCCACATTTAGCACATTTATCACATTGCTCCACATTTAGCACATGTATCACATTTAGTACATTGCTCCACATTTAGCACATTGCTCCATATTTAGCACATTTGGTACATTTCTCCACATTTAGCACATTGCACCACATTTATCACATTTAGTACATTGCTCCACATTTAGCACATTGCACCACATTTATCACATTTAGTACATTGCTCCACATTTAGCACATTGCACCACATTTATCACATTTAGTACATTGCTCCACATTTAGCACATTGCACCACATTTATCACATTTAGTACATTGCTCCACATTTAGCACATTGCTCCACATTTATCACATTTAGTACATTGCTCCACATTTAGCACATTGCACCACATTTATCACATTTAGTACATTGCTCCACATTTAGCACATTGCACCACATTTATCACATTTAGTACATTGCTCCACATTTAGTACATTTCTCCTCATTCATCACATTGCTCCACATTTAGCACATTCATCACATTGCTCCACATTTAGCACATTTAGTACATTTCTCCTTATTTATCAGACTGCTCCACATTTATCACATTTAGTACATTGCTCCACATTTAGCACATTCTCCACGTTTAGCACTCTGCCCCATAATTCCTCCAGTATTGTTGTTTGAAATTGCTTAATATTGCTGTTTTTCTCCCCCTGACCCCCCACACCCACCCCCCCTGACCCCCACCCCTCCCCTGCTCGGAGGCAATGTTCTTGTTGTGTCTTTTTGTTTATGTAAACTTTTTAACTCGGCCTAGTTAACCTTTCTATTACGCTCAATCAATGTCCTTCTTGTAAAATGTAGTATCGCCTTTTACCAGAAAATCAAGACAAACTAGTGAGTTTTTCTGGCTACTAATTGTGGCATTTGAGGGCCAGGAGCACTATTTCCCTGGGAGTCTAAAACTGTCACAGAGATTTAAGCAGAATAATTCTCTAAACTATTTTGAAATGACTGACAACCTGCGGACTTTTTGAAGGTATTGTGCAATGTGATCTGCTGCCTGATAATTAAATATTGGCTGTCACTTCTGTGTTGGAAAGTCCTGACCTTTTAAGGTGACATGAAAGGTGTGAAGAATGAGGATAAGAGGCAGGTAACCGTCACACTGTTAACCTGTTTTAACCCTCTCAGTGCCTTGAGCAGACGGTGGATTAATGATTCTTTATCAGTGGGAGTTGTATAAGGAATTTTATTTGGGGGACACCCAGTCTAACCATCTATTAATCACCAAAATGTATCAATTCAATTTACACAACAGTTTATATACTGTATAGAAATCTAAGCGAGCAAGTTTGTTTTAGTGAATATTTTCATTAGAACTGTTTGTTGCGTATGTTAGAGCACAATGTTTAACGTTTATACATTATACCTTAGATTGCCCTACGAGATCTTCTCTTGCCTCTAAAGCTATCTAAACTGCAGAATCTTTTTGAAATACAAATAGAAATTCAGATATTTGTGATTTTTTTTAAACCATTGTTCAGTTTTTATTTATTCTAATTTTTTTTTCTATTGTTTAGATTTATTTAATCTATTTTAAGATAAATATATATATATTTTTGTATTTTTTTTTATTATGCAATATATGCAATCCTCTTGTCAGTGTACGAATGTCGAACAAATATAGGTTAAAAAAAAGAGGCTCCATCTGTCGCGCAGTATATGCACCTCAGATAAGGCATCTTTAACAAATCCTTTTTGAGTCAAGTTATGCTATACTGTAAGCAATGCTATTTCTCTGTTATTTTTTTTTTCAATCTAATCTGCAACTACTTAAAATAAATGAAAAGCATTAACCAAATCATTCACCCCCATATAAGCCGCCAGTTTTGAGAAAAATGGAAAGACCTTTAAAAAAGCCAGGTTTGTCTCCAAATTCACATCTCAAAGTTCTGTTCATCATCTTTAAATTATCCAATGGCTCCTAGAAAAAAAAACCTATATACTATATGCAATGTGTTCAATTTATTTTTAAATAGAGTGTCAGCTTTAAAAGATTCTTTAATAACATCTAACTATGTTCTCCAGAGCCTGGATTCCCCCAACATGCACCTGGCTTCTTGCACCAGCCCAGCGGCGGTTTCTATATATTTTTTAGACTATTACAGACATATATTCAAAATGTAAAGGTTAATGAATTAAATTCTACAGAATAGAATTTATCAGAATAATATCTTATCCCCAATAAATGAACACAAACTGGCTTATATTCTTTTTTTGAGGGTCTGTTGATTTGCCCAATAAAAAGCAGCTAAGTTAAACAAATAATTAAGTGAACGTAGCTTGGGATCCTCTTAAAACCCGGCTCGCAAACTCTACAGGACTCACAGGGCTATTGTTCCTATGACAAAGAATGGACTATTAATAAAATATTATACTTGTAAACTCTCACAGACAGAGTTGTCATTTAACAAGCCAAACTTCCTAGTTAGCAAATTCCTTTTTCTTTTTTTATACCCAAAAATTCTGTTCACAAATGTCATCGATGATTCTGTTAGTTAATAGCAGGTACGGACGAGCTGCAGTCAGTGTAAGGGTTTGGTGGTGAGACAGCTCAGTAGATAGAGCTCCAGCGTCAGTATCAAAATCACAGGTGCGATTCCTGTCAAGGTCGACTTGTGTAATAAAACCGAGACATATCTAGAAACTAGTGAAAAACTAAATTTACCTCTGCTGAATAAATGCTTATTATTAATAAAATAATACTTTTTGATTTTTATAAAATGCTGATTTGGAACGAAATTTCTGGCCACTTGTAAACGCTGTTTGTGTTATCGTGCAGTAATGAGTGCTAAATCCGTATGTATCAATATATTGTAAACTTTCAGACACGTGATACATCTTTAGACATATATTGTTTTTTACTTTGTAGTGACAAAGATCCCAGTACAATATACAGGGGTACCGACTGGATAATGGCAAGGGAATGTTAATTAAATGAATCCATGGTGAATTATAACGTAGGAATACATTTTATACGCTGGTTAGTCCTGGGAATGCTGATAATTGTGGCTGATTCAGTCTATGAGCTCCCTGTGCATCATGGGACATATGCTTCGCCACCTCTGCTGTACACTGATACAATTACCGTCAGACCACAGTAACACAGGCTGTACAAGACAAGCAGACTGCCTGGGGAGCTTGTGGGTTCCCTACAATTACTGCAAATAAACCCGGGACACTCAGTACAAACGAATAGAGTAATGAAGGCAGAGTGTGTCTATATATATTAATATATAAAAAGACCGCTCATAACAGGTCCATGCTGGGTACATTACATCCCAATGCCGGTCTGCAAGTAGTGTAGGTTGATATAATAACATATGAAGTATATAGATCAGATGGGATAATATTTTGAAAGACTGAGAACACAGCTCAATACAAATATTTGTTTTTCCCAAACTTGTTACAATCTATATTTGAACGCCCCTCGCAATTCGATGCCCTGCAGGTAACAGAGAATGAGAAATGTCCGGCCTGTCTTACAAAACTGAATGTGTCTGACGGAAATATTTATTTATAAATTCATCCACATTGTTTATCCACGACACGTTACAAATTTAAATTTAATATAATAAGATAGTAACGTTACCTTGTGAGGTAAAGACAAAACTAAACAAACCACAAATGTATGTGAAATCTGATCAGGTTTGAAAAGAAAAACGAATTGAAAGGTGAAAGTATAACTGTGGGGGCGGAGGGCAGTAATTTCACATTTAGGCCAAATTAACAAAAGCTGGTTTGAGAATTTTCCAAGTCACGTGACTCTGATGTCACACCTGAAAAGGTTTCATATCATGTCTTATGGCAGTGCGACGAGATAGCCGCCATTTTACGCCAATGTGCATGGCATGGGGGCATTGGCCAGGAGTCTGATGCCCAGATTGTAACTACCAATATTTATTATATTATTATAAAAAGCCAAAACAACAGAGCCGGAAGTGATGTCATAACTGAGCACACCACGTTCCGTCTCGCTATCTGTAATATATCCAACATGGCTGCACACGCCAGAAAACCACACGTCTGGGACATTAATCAGATTTAAATGGATTGCACAAATTGTGAACCACCATCCCAAAATGACCTATTTCATTTTTAGTCTGAGCCATCATTTCATATTCTTCACTTCGCTGATCACCAATGAAATCACTAGACATTTATCATACTCCCGAATCATCACACATGAAAATAGCTACGTACATAAACACTGATCGATAACGTGTCTCGTGTTCCCATCCTGCGGCTGCTTTAAAACACGTTGATGTCATCACTGATTAATCCAGCGTTATAAAATATCAATTCAAAACAAGGAATGCTGGGCAATCTACACGGCGGTTAACAAGTCAATTTAAAAAAAATTGCCGAATTGGGGAAAAAACTCCAAATCAACTATTTCTTCCATTTTCAATTCCTCTGCCCCATTCTATAATTCCTGGTTTAGTCGACAAATCTCTATATCTTTATATTGCCTTTTTCAGATTGTAGGTTTTAACAAACAGAGCTGTTAATTCAAAGACTTTCTCTAATATCCATGACTCCCATTGCACTCCCATTTATAATTTTAAATAACATATAGTGAAATATATATTAAAAAGGCTCTAGAAATGCAATATTTTAACGTTATTTAATGGGTCTAGAATTGTCATTACTGCCGTATGTTCTTTGGACATTTTGATTTCATGTATACATTTTAGTTAAGGTGTGTTTATTTATATTTATATATTTAGTTAGATAATTTTTTTTTCATAATTCTTTATGTCATTTATATGTTTTTTTGTTTTTTTTTAAATTGGCTATTTAAGCCCTTCCTTGAGACACTAAGATGGAAATAAGGAATAAGTGGGCCAAATCCTTTACCTCTTTGTGGGAAACTCTGCTTTGGCAAAAAGATTTGCAAGAGTTTAACAAAACACTATTTAAAAAAGTGTCCAAAATCATAAAAAATACATTCAAATTTTGCAAATTTTGAGTATTCTAGAAAAATAAACTGGTGAAAAAAAATAACTATAGTTAAATTCAAACATTTGAATTTATTATGAATTGTAGATTCACTTTCATATATTGGTGTGTAAATATTATCATTATTAAAATATTATTTTAATAATTATGATATTTATTTTATTTACACATATATGTACAGCTATAGAAGTATTTTGGATCAATAGGGATAAATGATCTTTTTCCATCAAATTTTTTTTAAATAATAATAAAAATAATAATAACAATCACAGAATGTATAAAATATTTATAGACATTCCCCGAATGACCTCAGAGATTGTATCAGGAGGAGAAGATCAGCTGGATAGAAAGATGGCTGACGTATTTGTGTAATAGAGACATTTTCCTGCATTTACTTAGAACGCCCCATCAGATCTGCAAATAGTTTATTCAAATTGCAACTCCTAGGAGACGAGACACTAAACTGTGGACAATTTGCCATTTTCAAGCCAAAATAGCTAAGAATGAAGAAAAGTCACTGAATTCAACTGAATATCTTGTGTCTATATTTCTTGTTGGGGTGAGTTGGCGACCCATTCGCAAAATGTTACCCCAAATCATGTGCTGAAAGTAAGTTATTTTTGTAACCTGGCTATTATGGTACAAATTTGCAAGCTGATTGTCAACTGAGCACAATAAATCCCCATGTTTTTATTTTTCTAACAGAGACTGGGGCCATAGTGAGGACCGTGGGACCTGGTTTAACTAGAATGCCGTCATTAACTAGTGTGTGTCTGTGTGCAACGTTGACATTGTGTCTCTGTTCATTAAGTAGTGTATTGTGCTGACTGAAGAATTGATGTGCACAATTTCAAACAAATTAACCAAGCTAAAAATATTCCACTTCAATAAAGTTGAGATATTTTTTTCAATTCTGGCATTTTAGTTTTTTTCACATCCCCACAAATCACTGTATAATGAATAAATCGAATTATGTTGGTGAGGTTACAATAGAAGCATATTGTGTGTGTGCTTGTGTATATGCACATGTATAGTATAGATAATTTATAAAACTACACCCACACATTACATGAATTACCTCATTTATTTTTTCCTTAAATCTTGTTCTATTAATCTCAGCATAATGTGACAATGAGATTAAAGAGAAGAGAATCAGCGTTTGGCAAAGGGTGGGCAGACTGTTAGCGGAATAGGTGTAATTCCCCTGGGTATAATAAAGATATTAACTGAGATATCGGATGCAAATCATTTCTGGTTCTAACTGTTTCGATTTATAGTCACTAACGATACAATATATCTCATGCATTACTCTGTGTGTGTGTGAGCCAGTTTGTATGTATGTGTGTGTATATTTGTGAGCCTGTTTGTACATATGTGTGTGTTGAGCCTGTCTGTATGTATGTTTGTGTGTGTGTGTGTGGGCCTGTTTGTACATATGTGTGTGTTGAGCCTGTTTGTATGTATGTATATTTTGCATGTATGTATATATGTGTGTGTGTGTGTGTGTGTGAGCCTGTTTGTATATATGTATGTGTGTGTGTGTGAGCCTGTTTGTATATATGTATGTGTGTGTGTGAGCCTGTTTGTATATATGTATGTTTGTGTGTATGTGCGTGCACATATGCTGATATCTGGAATTCATATCATGTTGTGTGAATGTGTGCAGACAGGTATACGACATGCAACAAGTCATGAAGCAGCTTCCTGCACAGAACCCCAGCTGGGTAAGGAGAGGCACATGGCGGGGTACTTACAGACCCCTGAACACATACATGTAAACAGACACAAAAGACTATGTTCACCTACAGAGCAGCGCACACTTTATCTGTACGTACACACATACACACAGCCTACAAAAACACACATATCTGTGCAGATAAAGGGGCAGGAATGCTGCTGGGCCAGATTCTTGTTTTAAGTATTCCTCTCCCCCCCCCCACAAAAATAATAAATAAACTCCATGCAATCTGCCCTGTCATGTAACTGATTATGGATGGGGAAAGAGGTAAAGACTCCGTCAGTGATGGTCTGACAGGGAATATTCCGTATAATTCTAATTATTACAGTGTGTCAATATAATCACATAATGCCAGTCTGGCCAGTGATGGGTTAAGGCAGACCCCCTTCTCACTGATGGAAAGTGCAGACCCTCCTCAAAGAAAAGGACTATTCACATGTGGTGATTCAATAAAAACCTGGAATTTCTCCCCCAAAGTAAACGGGATTCACAGGGCCGGCCAGGAAAGGCCACAACATCGTCTGCTTGACATGCCACTGGGAGGGGGGCTACCAGGCATGGGGGGTTAATATCGTGCTGGTAAATGGGGCATTAATCTGCTTTATGTTAGATTAAATAACTGGCAGAATGAACATGGGAAATTATTGCAATTTGCCAAAACGTGTCGGTTAATTGATAAATATAGAGAGAGACAGTGATGTATGTAGAGATTATTAAGGGAATTATTGTTTTATATTTGTAATAAAAAGCTGATTGTATAAAGTTTGTTGTTTTAGAATAAAATACATTCTCCAAACGTTATATTCGCTGTCCTTATCCTCTACTTTTATTTATTTTATCTTTAATATTAATCCTGTAGCATTTCACACGTTATCCTTATGTAAAATGTGTGAAATACAAAAAGAAAATGTAGAATAAATATTTTCTACAATGTTATTTAATATTATCATTATTTAGCTTTTTTTTTTAGTTATCACAATTCACAATACTAGGGACATGTAATACTTATATTTGCAAATAAAATGTGTGTGTATATAGAAATATATTTCCTTTGAACACACAATTTAAATAACTCTATATTCTATTACATACATATCAACTAATATACATTTGCATTTTATTATTGTATACACCCGCAGACAAATATATATAATATATAAAGATAGTGTGTGTTTTATATGTATGTTGACAGAATAAAAGTTTTTCATTTTCTTAAAATAGTCTCTAAAGTGCTGTCCAGTTATTTGTTTGTTTGTATAAACACAGGTTAATATTCGATACTTAGTTTAATTACAGAATATTTTGGCAGGCGTATATTGAAATTTAAAATCCTAGAAATTAATGAATTTTATTTCCTAAATGTTCGGGGTTTGTAGGTGCTATCGTTTTATTTATTTTCACACAGCGGATTAGCGTTTTGTCCTGATGTTGGGATGAGGCTAAAGTAAATAAAGTATTTTACAAACCCCGTGGTTTAAAGAGGGATTATCCCAGGCGCTCAGTTTATAATAACCCCATTTTTCATTAAAGGTTAGGGGCGATAAAGGCTTCACGATATGTTGCGTGACCGTTAAAAATACAGGTTATGATTAAAGTTTAAGGTTCAGAGTGTATAAAAAGCCTGATACAAGGGTGTGATGATACTCAATTGCAGGAACTTTACGTGATGTGCTGAGGAAGGCTTCTGACAAGCTTGGGAACGTTATCACTCTATTGATGTCATATTGGGTAGGTGGGCAGTTGGGAGGTCAGTGCTTTATATATGCCCCACATACTCCCTCACCCGGACTCACCTTCTCTTCTCATGCCCACTTTGAGGCATTTCTTCAGCCGGCAGTACTGACACTGGTTTCTGTGGTGCTGGTCGATGGGACAGTCCCTGTTGCCCCTACAGGTGTATGTCAGGTTCCTCCTCACTGACCTCTTAAAGAAGCTCTTACAGCCCTCACAGGTGAATTGTCCATAGTGCTTCCCACTCGACTTGTCCCCACACACCATGCAGTCCACATTGGGCACCCCTTTGTCCCCTGAATGAACTGGATCCTGACCTGGGGCTGTCCCTTTAGGGGTACTTGGGGTTTGAGGGGCCCCTCCTGGGTCCTGGTTACAAATTCCTGGTGGATTGCTCACGTGGGAGCCAGGAACCCCAGGGAGGTCCTCCTGCCATGGATTGACCACCATTGCCATAATCTAGAATGATATGCGACGATCCACAGTTTCACCAACAAGTCAATGTATCCAAGGCTGCGGAAGGCTACAAAGTTTATCCTGGGGCAACAAAAAGACCAGGCTGGCAGCTTGTTGCGAGGGCTACGCCTGGCTGGGTGTTTAATAGCAGATTTCTCCCATCCAAGAGCTGGCTACAACACAAAACGTGCACAGAGTCCAGAGGAGCCTCCAGGAAAACAGGAAGCTAGGCTACAGAGCTACAATGAACTCAGGGTGGGGGGAGAGCTTCAGGACCAAACCTCGTATATAGGGGAGCCTAGAATCCCTCGATTTAAAGTGCAAGCTCTTCAGACGCAGAACACTGGATGGCATGGGATGTGAGCTGCATACAGGCTGAGCCCTAGAAACAAACAGAAGATGGTCAGAACTTTAACATACAATATAATGCATAATGAGTTCAGCATACAGATCATTATAAACCTTAGTATCCTATCTCCGCGTGTGTTAATCTTATAGAGAACTGGTACATAGTTATAGTATAAAAAATATATATATGCACGCAGCGTATAGAAATATAATTACATATTATACCAGAATATATATATATTATTTATTTATTTATAAAATATTTTACCAGGAAAGATACATTGAGATTTCTCTCGTTTTCAAGTATATACAAATATACCAACACTACATATATAAAATATACGCACACATAATATGTAAATACATACACTACGCAGATATATAACTTATATAGAAATATAGAAATAAAACATAACATAAAATATGAGTATAGAAATGCAAACATCACGCATGTCGTTTCCAATTCCACTTACATTTTCAGTATTCTAAGTATAGATAGTATTTGTTGTATTGGATTTGTTATTAATTACATTTACACATGTAAATCTCAGAAAGCTTAAAACATGCCAGGAACATTCTGCCGCTTCCCATCTGTCCTAGATTAAATAAATAAAGAATTCTAAATGTCCAGGGCTACCTACCTGCTCCCACCATCCCCTTATCAGTAAGCTGTGCTGGGTGTGTGAATGCCCCAACCTGCAGGGATTGCTGAGAGCAGGCAGGGGACATGTCTCACTGTGTTCTCTGTACCTGAATGAGACACCTCTCAGCTGAATAAATAATTGCATCAATAAAACTTTCACTTTTTGTTGAAGAGAAAGCAAGCTAGTTTGCAGTGTACTAGCCCTGCACAGGAATTTGGGGCTTGACAAAGCAGATCTTTGCAGGTTTGGAAGATAAATCATGCATGTTCAATGCTATTTTGGCTAGAAAACACAGGGTAAATGTAGCTAAAGACACCATAAACCATACCTGTAGGTGATCTGTGCTGTGAGGACCAGTGTCAGACTCTGTGATCCCTCCTTAATAAGCAGGGCTCCCTCTGGGTGACTGCCATGGGTTTGGGGGGGTTATGTGATGTCTGTTCTTGGAGGAGACAATGAGTCAGCCTGCAGCAGCCTCACACATGAAAGGGAAGGAAAGTTGTGAAAGTGACACTGATTTGGTCTCCCTAGCAGTCCCTGCCTGGCCCTTGTAATTTCCCAGCTCCCAGTGAGCTGCTGTGAGAGGGAGCTCTGGATTCAATGTATCTCATTGACACAGTGTCCATGGAGACTCCCCTAATTAGGGCAGGCATGCAGGCTCAGAAACACAGCCTGCTGATTGGCTGCAGGGCTGGAGGCAGGGGGGCTGCAGGGGAGGGGAGGGGGGCTGGAGGGGAATGGGAGGGGTAGGGGGGGCTTATTCTGCACATGCTTTACCTGCCCCTCTATAGAGAATATATATTTATTATAAGATCTCTTAAATCTTAGCTATCACAAACTATCTAATTGTATTACCCAAATCCAGAGCTGAAAACTATTAGGCACAAACAGGAGGTGTACCTACATTAAAATGAAGAATTTAGAACTTTATTTATAATAATAATAATACATGCAGGAAATAGAAAGTGAAAATAATCACAATATAAATGACAAATAGCATATTTATGCAGTTATATTTGCTAAATCATAAATATGTTGTGTGTAATTATTTTTATTATTGTTTTATGTGAAATGCCAACATGCAATGTAGCGCTGTACAAAGGTAACGTTTCTTTCTGGGTTCCACAAAGATACACATAATCCAACAGGAGTTGGTAACCTTGTACAGAAGAGCTTACAATCTGACATCTAGAACCCAAGGGAACGCATGTAATTATCTAATTTAGACCACGATTAGATCTCATAGTCCATGGCTTGAATTTAAATGAATAATTAATGAAATTAATAATTAATATAAAATATGGACTTTAAAAAATGAAGTAATGTAACCAAAAAATGTGCACAAATCCGATATATAAAATGAAACCTAATTCTATGCTTTTATATAATGCTTATTATGGCACTTTATATTACTGGTTTTGCCTAAAAACCTACGTCAGCCATTATTAGAATGTTTTTATTATCCATGAGTCGCTGTATAAATCTTACAATATTAGTTTCATTGAAACGCAGTGAGCTATTTGCTTTGCGTTACTGTAATCCACATTATTTGCTGTAAGGAGTTTACCTTCTGGGAAAATCACCAAATGTGGCTGGAGGTATTGGGTCATATAATATAGCATTAAAACAGGTATTAATTACAAAATATATTCATTAACACAGTGGCAATTTGTTAGCGTCCAACTTTGAATTAAAACATATATTTACCGTGAACGTGTTTTATAAAATATTTAAAGGGACAGAGATTCTAAGCGTAAAAAAGTATGTTTGGTAATAATTTCGTCTGTTGTTTATCCAAACAAACTCATATTTTAACAGTTTCAAAAAGCATTCAGTTCATAAAGCAATTTTGTCCAAATCAACGAGCTCTTTGTTGAGTTTTGTCATTATCTCTGTATAAAACATATTTTTTGTATTTATAAAAATATGCGATGTAGAAGATAGTTATTTTCTGTTTATTTTTTTCCCAGAACCTACAGATGGACGATAATCAGCGGTAAGTGACTCTCTTTTGATAATTGTGTTCACGGCTGTGGATTTTCTTGTTTAAAGCAAGAGAATAGGGAATAATAGATCTTGGGGCCACAATATTTGTGAGCAATTAGGCATTTCAAGCTCCTTTCATAGAGTTTCATTATTGTTAAAGCCATTTGTGCCTTAGCAACTGAGATAGATAAATAGATATTCATAGTTAGCAGGAGCCTAGGACGGTCTGGGGTTCGCCCATTACACACCGAATCCTAGGAACTGAACTCTAAATTGCAAAGTTTGGTTAAAAATTGCAGATATGAAAAAAAATCACCAATCCAACTCTAATCTCACCGAGCCTGTTTTAGTCTAAATTTGGTTTAAAATTCTCTACAGTTTGGTGTTTAATTAATACATCTTGTCACATTATCTCCTAAGTAGGGTCAGAGATTTATCACAAATAATAGCTACAGATCCCTGTTTTTATACATGGTAGATAGATAGACAGACAGATTTAAAATGTTAAAATTAAATAAAAATGAAAAAAAATGTATGTAACACAATCGCTGACACGAAATTTAAACCCTAGATAGTATAGTTATTTTTGCCAACAATGCTGGTAACGAAATCATTTGCCAACAGAGAATCTAAACAATGCATTAATTTCATTAAAGTTTATTAACAGATTTAGAAATGCTGTGAGCAATAAATATAAACGAAGACGTATAATGTTAAATGTATGATGGTAATTAGGCAGAATATTACACACAGGAAGACCTGATAATCTATGTCTAATTGTATCAGATCGTGGAATCATTTCTGATAATAAGAGAGAACTTCTGCAATGATTTGTAGTAAGTATATCGATTTCAAAATAAAGTCAGATAGATCGATAGACAAACTGACAGACAGATAGAGTATAGATAGATAGATATAGATAGATGGACAAACAGACAGTCGGATAGATAGCACCATGTGTATAATATAACATTGCAAATGATTCGTTTATAAATTAATATATTATATAGTATATCGATAGACAGATAGATAGATAGATAGACTATAGATAGATAGATAGATAGATAGATAGATAGATGGCTAGATAGATAGATAGATAGATAGAGAGAGAGAGATAGATAGACAGACTATAGATAGATAGAGATAGATAGATAGATAGATAGACAGACAGATAGATAGATAGAGATAGATAGATAGATAGATAGACAGATAGATAGATAGATAGAGATAGATAGATAGATAGATAGACAGACAGATAGATAGATAGATAGATAGATAGATAGAGATAGATAGATAGATAGATAGACAGACAGATAGATAGATAGATAGATAGATAGAGATAGATAGATAGATAGATAGATAGATAGATAGATATAGATATAGATAGATATAGATGGATACGATATATATAATACCAATTATCCACATTATATTAATGTTACACTTCTTTCTATTTTATATATAGTTTGATTTCTGCGTTTTTATTCAATTGTTGGGTTTGAGGAAGTGCCCAAATGAGCGTGTTACAGCAGCTTTGAATGTTGCCATCAAATAAGCGCCTTAAATCACTTTTCTGTTTGTTTAGACAGACAGACAGATTAATACCAAGTCATAATAACAGACAATAGACAGTACAATCATTTTATCCACCTACTAAGTGACATTTCTCATAAAAAAATCAGTTTTACTTGCAATCTGTGCATCAGGTTCCCCTCCTCTCTGTCCATGCAAACATTGTAAAATATTTTACATATACAATTAAAAAGGCGACATTGAAAGAATAAGCAATACAATTGGTGATCGTGACACACAATATAACATAAAAACACCCAGATGGATGGAGAGAGTTGTTGGATTTTATTTATTTTTTTGAGTAAATCTGCGATGACACATACAGGAAGGGTCCAGGGGTGCACAAAGCGCAGCCTGACTGCCTTTCCCAGACACACTCATCTTTCGGACCCTTTTAAGCTTTGTGGTTGGTCAAAGGCGGCTGTAAATAAACCGTTTCCTATAATTGCTCATAAAATCTTTCACTTGAAATTCCATTATTCATTGCAGGCAGAGCCAAGGGGCCGCCAGTCACATAAATTTGTTTTGGATTCCTTTTAGGTAAAATTCATTACCTTTATCTGGACTGAAATCCTGCTTTTAGGGTCAGAGATTCCTACAGCAGGTCTGGATTTATCATCCAGAGAGAGACTAAACCTTAATTATTCACTCTGAGAACTCTGTGGCTTGGACGTGGCCCCATCCACCCCCTCCCAGCCACTGCGGTGATCCCCCATAATGCAAGAAGTCTAAAGAGTTTAACCCAGATTGCTGAAGGTTTACTCGAGACCAATAGATTGAAAGCTTTGGCAATCCGCGCATGGAACTTCAAAACGTTGCTCGTCACTATGGCACACACTGTGTTAACTAGATCTGTCCCCGACACAGAAAGTCAGGATTATAAACTAGCAGGGTTAGCTAGAAAAGTTAGAGCGTGCGTTATTATTTAATTTGTTCCCTTTTTGGGAAGATGGCCGATTGTTTGCTAGAGCAGTAAATTAATTAGCAAATAAATCGATAGCATGAGACGTGTTTTTACTTTAATAATTAACTTTTTCTGGATTTTTTTTTTTTTTTTAAGAATGTATTTTACGGCAGGGGAAGATCTGTGTGCTTTTACGAAGAGATCACAGTAACTTTAGGTATATTTAGGGTTATTCATAAACATGTGAATTGTCAGGAATTAAACGTGGATTTCAAATCTTAGGCCAACATTTTGTATTTAATGGATAAATAAAATACGCTGGCAGCACCAATCTTCCCAATGTCTAATCTACCCAAAAATATTTCCTATTTTATTTCTTGATAGCCATGAGCTTATATCAAAGCATTTTATGTAAAACCTCTAGATAAACCACATGCCTATTAAATAGTAAAGATAATTAAAAATTATATCACTCTGTTTTCCCCCAAAATATCTGATATGGCAACGAAACCTTTCAGCCTATCACCTCGTTTGCCTTGCGTCACATTCATCTCACCTGATTAAACTGTGACTGGTTGAGAAATGACCCAAATGATACAATAAATGTAGGGACATTAGACAAGTGTGGTGTAGGGATGGTGTTTGTTAGGCCATAGCTAGGCCCCGATTTAATTGGAGTCGGGCGTTCCCCCAATAAGCCATTGGTACGGATCGATTTAATTAACACTGTTAAAGGCTGACCGGAGAACGATAATTATTGGTTCGAATATCTAAAACTGACACCTATACTTTAAATTGGTGATTTAATTCCATTTATCAGGCACGTATTACCTGACAACATACTAAAAGATGTTCATAGAATGCTTTATTTTAATTTTTTTACTATTTGTCGCTGGAAGCACTGGTAGCACCATTAGCCAGCAAGCAAAGAGTTAGAAAAGGGCATTGATGGGAATCAATACGATAACAATATTATTATAACGGAGGTCGAATACCTCTCTTATACCCCCACCCTAATGCCACAGATGGGTCTTACAATAATTAGCGGCTATTTCTGCTATGTCACTAAAAAAATAGAGGAGGGGGGCTGTACCCCCGCCCCATATACAGTAGGTGATATGTTGCATTTCTGTTAATCTTTTTGGACCAAAAATCATTACTTCGTGCTGTTGATAAATACATGAAAAGGGCTGCCTTGAAGTAGATCATATGCAACATGTGGGTAATCAGTTAATTACGGAGCAGTTTCTAGTACATTGGTTTTCATAATTGATTCCCCTCATGTACTACATGAATGCTATGTACTACGAAGTAGCACTTTTCATTCTCTGCTCATCTGCATGAATACACACATGTCCAGGAAAACACATTAGATCCGGGAACCCGAGTTAGAAAAACGTCTGTAAAATTCTTTGTGGGAGGTGGAGAGGGGTTAGATTCAATTGTTGGAGACTGTGATGGGTATTTACTACCCCACGTGTAAGGAAGTCTTAACCTAGCACCTCCGCTACCCAACGTTAACCCATCAAAAATCATATTATATCCTGATTTACCTGGTAACTTATCTGTCATTACAGGGTTAAATAATATATATTCTAATTTCTCAGAATCTGTCGATCTGCTTTGATTATGGTTGATTAATTGAAATAAAAAAAATGTTTCCTTTTGGATAAGAAAATAAAATTAAAGCGAAGGAAGGGTCGCTGTGTGAACCGAGCTTAGCAGAACGTGATCGCAGCTCGGAGAGAATAGATATTATTTATTGATTGCAAGCTCTGCTCCCTAACGTGGTTAATCACATCACACTCGCCTCTGCTCACAGGATTTCCCCATTTACAGCTTAACACTTCAGGAAAAGAGATAATCCTGCGTTCTAATGAAATATATCTGCATTAGCTTACTCTGAGTTACCGCGCTCAGAATGACATCACCAAATTGTACGTGGCATTAAAGAATCATCACCGAGGCCGATTATTCTGCTTTTTTTTTTTGCAATTAAAGTAAAACAGATGGTCTTCATCTTCTAAGATTTTTTACGTCATCTTGTAGATAATGAAAATCTGTATTAAGATTAGGTTGAAAATTGGACACATTCTATCAATGCATTACAGAAAACGAGAGAAATCCCAATGTATCCATTCCGGTAAAATATTTAATAAATAAAATATATTACCCCGCCATAATCGTATAAAGTTTATTACAACATATAGATTACATACAGGAACCGTAACCCTAAAGGAAAACATACAGTGATTTCGGGATGGGAGCAGGACAGGGCTAGTTATTCCATGTGTGAAATTGGGACCGCGAGGGTGGCATGTGCTCCCATAGAGCATCAGTCATACCCGCCTTCGTGACACATTAACAGGAAGCTTTGCCAACTCTGCATTAAAGGCGTCACATGTGCAGGGTGCTGTCCCCTTAACTGACTAAACCTGCCAACAGCTGCTCATTATTACCCAAGTCAGGCACTTGCTGTGCAACAGGGCAGACCCTCTCTACTGGAGGGCAGTGGTATTAAACAGCACCCACAGATTGGCTGACTCAGCGATGGTTAATATCCTGGGTTAGTGTGATATTTGTTGGTTCAGGGGAAGATTTTGGGTATCACTTGGCATTCTGTTATGTTTTGCTTCTTGATGTGATAGTTTTGAAATAATTTAAGGTTTCTTTTCATTTCTGAGTAATTCCTAAAATACTGGGCGTGAATCTTCGAGTAATTCATTACGGTTCGAGTTCGCTTTTCTTCACATTATTGGTAAACCTAGTGAATTTTGGCAAAAATGAACCAACTATAACGGCTGAAATTTTTTTTAACTGTAAATGTTTTTTTTTAATGTTATTTCACAGTGAAACTTTTAATTGAATTCTTGTTCAATTATTTGTAGTTCCAGAGAAATGCTCGGGGATCCCAATATTTCGTGTTAATTTGCCTCAATAGAATTTTTAGAAAACGTGCAAAGTGTGTCATTACCCAGAAGCCCTTGATGCTTCAAAATGTTATATATTTGTTATTATTAAATATAAATCCCCAATATATTTAAATGGGATTCCTTTATCTGTACCACGATTCACTCCATTTTATAAAGAATCAAAGGCTAAAGTTATTACTAATTAGGGATGTTTTCATAACTGTAGCCACTCACTGGGGTCCCACTCGTGATAAAGCCAGAGGCTCTCCTAAACCCCTTTGCCAGTTGGCAGCTAGTAGATTAAATATAATGAAGTAAGGGTCCTTGGACCCCCGATACTGAGGAGCGAGCTCCCTTCTGTCCCTCTGTGTGCCAGTGAAAGGGTTAATGCATGCATTATGACTGGCAATACAGATAAAACGTGTTTTGTCACACCCTGTGTATATATTGGGGTAACAGTGGCTGAGTGTGGCTTGGTCCTCTGTCACCAATATCAGCATTCAGGCAATGTAATCAATACCAGAGCTATTTTCTATCTCGTGAGCAGAGGCTCAATGTGTTCTGTGTATTGCTGAGACGGCAGAAATTGCTGAAACACCAGATCTTTTAAACTGTAACGGGTAATATAAATCCCACAATGTCTACATGTCGCATGCTTGTGAAAAGTGCGCCTGGAGTGTCCCTTTAAATTGAATAAAATAAGTGACTTAGAGGAGAAAAGTTGACACTTTCTTACTGTAACAAAGCTGCATGACAACATTGCTACTGCCTCTTAAACCAGCACTGATCATATAGTGAAACTTGCAAAAACATGCAAATTGCAAAAACATTCTATTATTTAACCCCTTAAGGACAAATGACGTGTGACATGTCATGATTCCCTTTTATTGCAGAAGTTTGGTCCTTAAGGGGTTAAACTCGGTCGGTCACTTGGAAAAATGTTTACAAACAATCTTTGACACGGTGGAATGAATTGTTAACCTGTTTCTTTAATAGATTCAGTAGTTTCCAAGATATTTTAATAAAATCTAGACACTCATATTTACTGTTTACACAATATGCCAGATGGGGGGACATTTTTTCATACCTCCCAAGTGTCCCTATTTAGAAAGGACAGTCCCTATTTTAGGCCCAGATCCCTCTGCCCCTCTTTTCTCTCCTAATGTCCCTCTGTTATTATTATTATTATTATTTTATTATTTATATAGCGCCATCAAATTCCATAGCGCTGTACAATGGGTGGACTAACATACATGTAATTGTAACCAGACAACTGGATGTACAGGGACAGAGGGGTGGAGGGCCCTGCTCAATGAGCTTACATTCTAGTGGAGGAGCTCGATATTGTTGGTGTGTCTGGGTGTATAACAGAGCTCCACAGCAATAATACTCCCAGTAATGTCTGATTGTATAACAGAGCTCCACAGTAATAATACTCCCAGTAATGTCTGATTGTATAACAGAGCTCCACAGCAATAATACTCCCAGTAATGTGTCTGAGTGTATAACAGAGCTCCACAGCAATAATACTCCCAGTAATGTGTCTGAGTGTATAACAGAGCTCCACAGCAATAATACTCCCAGTAATGTCTGATTGTATAACAGAGCTCCACATCAATAATACTCCCAGTAATGTGTCTGAGTGTATAACAGAGCTCCACAGCAATAATACTCCCAGTAATGTGTCTGAGTGTATAACAGAGCTGCACAGCAATAATACTCCCAGTAATGTGTCTGAGTGTATAACAGAGCTCCACAGCAATAATACTTCCAGTAATGTGTCTGAGTGTATAACAGAGCTCCACAGCAATAATACTTTCAGTAATCTGTCTGAGTGTATAACAGAGCTCCACAGCAATAATACTCCCAGTAATGTGTCTGAGTGTATAACAGAGCCCCACAGCAATAATACTTCCAGTAATCTGTCTGAGTGTATAACAGAGCTCCACAGCAATAATACTCCCAGTAATGTGTCTGAGTGTATAACAGAGCTCCACAGCAATAATACTCCCAGTAATGTGTCTGAGTGTATAACAGAGCTCCACAGCAATAATACTTCCAGTAATGTGTCTGAGTGTATAACAGAGCTCCACAGCAATAATACTTCCAGTAATCTGTCTGAGTGTATAACAGAGCTCCGCAGCAATAATACTCCCAGTAATGTGTCTGAGTGTATAACAGAGCCCCACAGTAATAATACTCCCAGTAATGTCTGATTGTATAACAGAGCTCCACAGCAATAATACTCCCGGTAATGTGTCTGAGTGTATAACAGAGCCCCACAGCAATAATACTCCCAGTAATGTCTGATTGTATAACAGAGCTCCACAGCAATAATACTCCCAGTAATGTGTCAGAGTGTATAACAGAGCTCCACAGCAATAATAATACCAGTAATGTGTCTGAGTGTATAACAGAGCTCCAAAGCAATAATACTCCCAGTAATGTGTCTGAGTGTATAACAGAGCTCCACAGCAATAATATTTCCAGTAATGTGTCTGAGTGTATAACAGAACTCCACAGCTATAATACTCCCAGTAATGTGTTTGAGTGTATAACAGAGCTCCACAGCAATAATACTCCCAGTAATGTGTCTGAGTGTATAACAGAGCTCCACAGCAATAATACTCCCAGTAATGTGTCTGATTGTATAACAGAGCTCCACAGCAATAATACTCCCAGTAATGTGTCTGAGTGTATAACAGAGCTCCACAGCAATAATACTCCCAATAATGTGTCTGAGTGTACAACAGAGCTCCACAGCAATAATACTCCCAGTAATGTGTCTGAGTTTACAACAGAGCTCCACAGCAATAATACTCCCAGTAATGTGCCTGAGTGTACAACAGAGCTCCACAGCAATAATACTGCCAGTAATGGGTCTGAGTGTATAACAGAGCTCCACAGCAATAATACTCCCAGTAATGTGTCTGAGTGTATAACAGAGCTCCACAGCAATAATACTTCCAGCAATGTGTCTGAGTGTATAACAGAGCTCCACAGTAATAATAATCCCAGTAATGTGTCTAAGTGTATAACATAGCTCCACAGCAATAATACTCCCAGTAATGTGTCTGAATGTATAACAGAGCTCCACAGCAATAATACTCCCAGTAATGTGTCTGAGTGTATAACAGAGCTCCACAGCAATAATACTCCCAGTAATGTGTCTGAGTGTATAACAGGGCTCCGAAGCAATAATACTCCTAGTAATGTGTCTGAGTGTATAACAGAGCTCCACAGCAATAATACTCCCAGTAATGGGTCTGAGTGTATAACAGAGCTCCACAGCAATAATACTCCCAGTAATGTGTCTGAGTGTATAACAGAGCTCCACAGCAATAATACTCCCAGTAATGTGTCTGAGGGTATAACAGAGCCCCACAGCAATAATACTCCCAGTAATGTGTCTGAGTGTATAACAGAGCTCCACAGCAATAATACTCCCAGTAATGTGTCCGAGTGTATAACAGAGCTCCACAGCAATAATCCTCCCAATAATGGGTCTGAGTGTATAACAGAGCTCCACAGCAATAATACTCCCAGTAATGTGTCTGAGTGTATAACAGAGCTCCACAGCAATAATACTCCCAGTAATGTGTCTGAGTGTATAACAGAGCTCCACAGCAATAATACTCCCAGTAATGTATCTGAGTGTATAACAGAGCCCACAGCAATAATACTCCCAGTAATGTGTCTGAGGGTATAACAGAGCTCCACAGCAATAATACTCCCAGTAATGTGGCTGAGTGTATAACAGAGCTCCACAGCAATAATACTCCCAGTAATGTGTCTGAGTGTATAACAGAGCTCCACAGCAATAATACTCCCAGTAATGTGTCTGAGTGTATAACAGAGCTCCACAGCAATAATACTCCCAGTAATGTGTCTGAGTGTATAACAGAGCTCCACAGCAATAATACTCCCAGTAATGTGTCTGAGTGTATAACAGAGCTCACAGCAATAATACTCCCAGTAATGTGTCTGACTGTATAACAGAGCTCCACAGCAATAATACTCCCAGTAATGTGTCTGAGTGTATAACAGAGCTCCACAGCAATAATACTCCCAGTAATGTGTCTGAGTGTATAACAGAGCTCCACAGCAATAATACTCCCAGTAATGTGTCTTTAAACTACAATAAATGTGTTTGTAATCCGTCTGTGTAAATAAGATACATTGTTCTTGTAACAAATTACATTTACTTGTATAAATTGTTATTAGTAAGCCAGAACAGCCCCGCCTTTGGACACACCCCGTGTCACACTCAGAACATCTCTGGCCACACCCACAACGCCATACCTTAAAATTAAAGTGTCCCTCTTAGTCCATGTGAAATGTTGCAAGGTATGATTTATTTGTTATGTTGATGATAAGATTTGTATTAAATCGAGTATTCTGAATGATAATTCTACTTACTGCATGACGACGTGTAGTATTTCCGCTCTGCATATACCAATATTAATAATATTAAAACAGGAATTCTGGGTAAGATTGGGTCTTACTGCATTATAGTATTTTCCATTATTCACATAATTAAAAAAAATCACCTATGGTTGTGTTCATTTTTTTTTCCATGAAACGTTCAGTTTCCTTTAATTTATATTAAATAGTTACTGAATGACGCTGTAATGCGGGGCGCACATTGCTAATGAGGAGGAGGCGTGGAGACATTGTGCCATTTCTCATCCTCTCTGTACGCTCTATCTGTGCTGACTGACGGGCTATAACAATGACTGACAGGGAGCTGAGATGGAGGCGCCCAGTTACAGGATAATTTCATTTTTCACACTTTTTTTAAGTTAAATATAGGGATTGATTATAAGCTTGTTTGAGCTAAGCCTTTTCTGCATCTTGTCTGTTAATATTTTGTATATCATTTATCACTTTCAGTTATCCTTATTCTGCTTTGCAAAGCACTGCAGAGTATGCTGCCCCGATATAAATTATAATAAACATTATACTAAACGTCCAGGGACGTTCCCATTGCAAACCAGTAATTCTGGGTAATGGCTGGCTTGTGTCTCTGGGTTTGGGACCTGGGTCTGGTATTAAACAATTATACAACCTCCATTGTAATTGGAAATCCAGCTATGTATCACTACGTACGTCGTATTATTACTACATCGCCATTTTACACAGCGACACGTAAATATGTCACATTACACACAGCATCTAATTTCACACTCCCTTTAACAAGAATCCTATTTGTATCCGTGAAACTAACAGTGTAAATGGGTTAATGGGGCCCGTTCTGTTTGTCCCATTTTATACTCCGTTCTAAAGAAAGATGTGAATTTGTGACCATTTTCCACACCACATATATTGTTTCCAGTCTAATATTATCGTTTGTCTCATGGAATTATATCTTAACATCTTTTTCAGTCACTTCCATAATTCTCGCTGTATTGCGTCCATAGGGAACGCATCACACAACCGCCTTGGCATAAAAACAGCCCGTTCTATTTACATGTGGCGTTCTGTAATGGACAGAAGAAGACATGATTATAATAAATACTTTTACTAAAAGTGGGGAAAAAAATATCCGAGTGATATGTGGCAAAGCTTTTATAGTCTGTAAAAAAATGCTTTTTAAATGCTGTCAAGTTGACCTGTTGAAGAAAACAACTCACTTAGAGCTGTCGTTAAAAACCAAAAAATGATAATTTAAGCACTTAGTTAAGTACTTGTGCTGATTTCTTGGTTAAGAAACAAAAAGAAAAAAAATCAGTATTGAACACACAGTACAGCGCTTCAGAATATGTTGGTGCTCTATCAATAATGGAATCTAAAGCTAAACTCTGATCAGGCACCATGACCACTTCAGTGATTTAAAATGGTGATGGTGTTTGGAGACTCCTTGTGCAGCGTAGAGGAGACCCGGTGCCAGGTAGAACCCGATAAGGGGGCAAACCGGCTGTAGTGGTTATGGTTCTTGGAGTGATCCGTTAATGTGTTGTGCATGCGCTGTTTGTTCCAGTGTGCTTCTCTGTTAGAATTATCATATTGGTCAGAGATCCGCAGTCCTACAAAGCGAAGGCTGTACCTCAGCAAGTAACTTAAATGGAACAATCAAACCACCATAACAACTATAGCCTGTTTTCATACATTTTGAAAACTTACCTGGGTACCGTTAGGTGCCCACGCTGCATCCAGTCTTCTCCTGTACAAGAAGCCAAGCGTCTATAGAATTATAAACAGCTGACCCAGGACTGCGCACATTGACAGAGCGGTCAGCTGACGCTGTCGGCCAATCAGCATGGTTTTACACAGCAAACTAAATTCAACTGATGGAAAGTAATGGAAGCAGTGGGTGAGTGTGTGGCCGCCAAGCAGGACTTAGGTAAGTTGACAAACCATGCTAAAATTACTACTTACCACTGCAGCTAACTACAGCAAAAATCCGCGATTAAGGGGCCTTCTTGTCTTCAGCAATCTCCTCTGGTTCACAGATCTGCACACCTGCCTTTGGAAGCTGCTTTAACCTGTGTCCCCTCCCGGCAGCCGCAGTGCTCCCCGTAGCTCTGATCCTAATCCATCCCAAAAAACGCCGAACACAAACACAGCTGCAAGCAAACGCTTGGGCGACTAATTTCTCAATCCATTTGTAATACTCCCGTCAAATGTTTAACAAGTGCTGGCACCAAAAAGGGTTAAGTGCAAA